GGGAGTTTTACCTGATGTAAATGACGAGTTGATGGGTACTGAAGATTTGATGGGTGCAGCACACCAACATGGCAGAAGTATACATATGTAACAAACCTGCACGTTATGCACATGTACCCTAGAACTTAAAGTATAATAGTAATTAAAAAAAAAGAAAGAAAGAAAATCCAGGCCAGGCATAATGGTTCATACCTGTAATCTCAGCACTTTGGGAGGCCGAGGCAGGTGGATCACCTGAGGTCAGGAGTTTGAGACCAGCCTGGCCAATATAGTAAAACTTCATCTCTACTAAAAATACAAATAATTGGCTAGGCATGGTAGTGCATGCCTGTAATCCCAGCTAGTTGGGAGGCTGAGGCAGGAGAATTGCTTAAACTCCTGAGGCAGAGGTTGTAGTGAGCTGAGATCCACTACTGTACTCCAGCCTCAACAATAGAGACTTTGTCTCAAAAATAAAAAAATCCAGTTATTCACCTTTGAATTGATTCCATAGGAGTTCTATATCTTAAATGCTCCTTTATTGTATAGAGCAAAATAATGACAAAGTCAAGAGATTAAGAGTAATACTCAAAATTTAACAATGTACAGGCATAGATAAAAATAAATAAATAAATAAGTCTTCCAGTAGATTTTAAAGTCAACGATTTACTAATTGGAAGTTTACTCTGATCTGCCCTGATTCTTCTCATTCACCCTATAGCCACCCATACTGTTTCTGCCATGATCGACAATAAATTTTGAAAAATAGACAAGACCATTTAACTTGGTTTTATTCTCCTGATGTTGTGATTTTGTTTTGTAGGATAATAAGAGAAATTTATTAGGAGGAGATCAGCCAGAGTCCTTTTTACATTGCCTTACCATGACCATCTTCCAATAAGCTAGCACTGTATTCAGTGCTCAGGCCCTATTGCTTGTGGAAATTGCCCTAAGAGAACTACATCTAGGATCAGATCGGGTCAATAGGCAGAAGAATTGGTCTCAATGTTGGTGAAGCTCAGTGCAATTTATGCTGCAGTGCCAAATTTGTGGAGATAAATTAGTCTATTAGCCACTAGTGATAAGGTTGATTGTTGAACAGCAAAAGTGAAAATAATGCATTTACTTTTGAATTTGGTAAGAGCAAAGACAAAATGACCTAACTCTTATCAGCGGTTTTGTCACAAATCGATCACTAGCTCATCATATGCCACTATCTTCTCAATACAAGCTTTACACAAAAAACTACCACTAATATCACGTGCTGTCCCCTGAGACTATATACAGACTGGAAAAGAAAACTTTTTATTTCCAAAAGACATGATTGTGTACTTACAAAAATCCAAAGGATATAAGCAAATGAGTAGAATTAGTGAGGTTTAATTTAGTAAGGTCACTGGAGACAATATCAATATACAAAACTCAATTGCATTTTATCTACTAGCATGAAATAAATAGAACATATAATTTAATGCCATTTAACAATAATATTAATACATACATTAACTAACTCTATGTGATACTTATTTAAACATTCTACATACTGCATCTATATCTATATATCTTACCTAGGAATAAAGCGTAGCATATATATTTGGAAGAGATTCAGCCAAATTAGAATAAACAGACATAGATGAGTGTAGGGAGAGAGAGAAACGTGAATGTGGCAAAATGTTAACTGGTGAATTTAGGTAAAAGATACACAGCAATTATCATGCCCTTCTTTTGAGATTTGGGTAGCTTTGAAATTTTCAAAATAAAACGTCAGAAGAAACGTTAGTAAACTTAAGGTTTAAGGAGTTAAATAACTTGCTACACTTCACAAAACAATTGGAAGGACCAGAAATACCCCCTAGCTCCTCCCATTTGACATTCTTCTCAAGGTTCTTTTCACCTTGCTTTTCAATTAGGCCTTCCTTCCAGAATGCAGATGAGTGAGGAGTGTCAGTCCTAGAATCAGATCTTCGTATTTCTGTTGTTGCTATTTAAATAGTGGCATGCATTTATTTTATTTTTGTGGTATAGTCTAACTTTTTGTCCTTGGCATTTATTAGCTATTGCTGTTCCTCCAGGGCTCAATCATCTTTTTTATAAGCATAATTGTGTTGTCCACAGTTGAATTTGAGCCTGTTTCCCAAATGTATTACTCTTATCAGTTTCATCCAGAAACTGGAAGGCGGAGGCACCCTGGCAAGTCACAGAGCTCTGCCAGGCACCACTTCGCTGTGCTGCAGCAGGTGAAATTCAGGGTCTGATAACATATACTTGATATTACCCTCTAGTACTTACGTTCCAGCAATACATAACATTTCCAGATTTTTTATTAAGTAAACCTCATAGCAAGCTCTGTTTAATACAAAAATGCCAACTCTTTTTGAGAAAACCCTCTCTTTTACAATATAGAAGCAATGTGGTTGGCATTTTTTTTAATTGTAAGAAAACAATGGAGTTTCTATGCAATTTACTATAAAGGCAACCCAAGGAAATAGAATCACCAGATGCTTGATTTCGCTTTGTGATGCTATGTTGGTATAAGAGCCATATGGTCAAAATTTTTAATATTCTTCATGAAAATTTTAACTTTATTTTTAAAAAATGTGTCCTTATTTCTTTTGCCTTTACAATAAATTAGTAAAGACCTTTGGGTCTTCACTTAACTAGTCTAACAGAAATTCCTCTGAAGTCTCAGGAGTGGTGCCTCATTGCTTAACTCATTTTCTAGACAGAAATCTCTCTCTCTTTCTCTGACTCTCTCTCTCACACACACACAAACACACACACACATACACCAACCACATGTACACACAACTTACTGTTTAAATGATCTACCATCTGTATTCCAGGGAAGTACTCTTCTGAATGCTATCATGAGAAACCATATAGCCCAGCAGTTAACAGTTCAAACTGTGTGGAACTCTGACTCTGATCCTTTCTATCTGCCTCCATTTGGGTAAATTACATTACAGCCAGGAACCTGAATTTCCTCATCTATAAAACGAACATAGTAACACTTACCACAAAGCATGAGAGAAAGGAATATAGATAATGTATATAAAGCAACTGGTATAAAATGAGGCTTACAATTAACAGCATAATTACTATTTTATTATGGTTTTCTAATAAAAAATATTTAGAAACAAATTAATATTATCCATGGTTTCTGCCAAGTGAAGAAGTGGATTATTCATCAATAATTAATGTTCATCAATAATTGTGTACTGTAACTCCAAAACGTGGCCAAACCCCAATAGATTTTATCAGTTTGTCACACTCCTCGAATTTTTTAAATGGCAACTATCTCTAATGAAAATATTTGAAAACATTTTATCATATTCACCATTTAATCAATGAATAAAATATTTGGTTATCTATCATATACATGTTTCAGTAGACAGTGGTGAAAGGCTTCATTGATGGTGCTACTCAAATATTGGACACCCCAGAAATACTCATTAGAAGATACTCAATAGGCTGGGCATGGTGTCTCATGCCTGTAATTTCAACACTTTGGGAGGCCAAGGCGAGTGGATCACCAGGTCAGGAGATTGAGACCATCCTGGCCAACATGGCAAAACCCCGTCTCTATTAAAAATACAAAAATTAGCCGAGTGTGGTGGCAGGCATCTATAATCCCAACAACTTAGAAGGCTGAGGCAGAAGAATTGCTTGAACCTGGGAGGCGGAGGTTGCAGTGAGCCAAGATCGAGCCACTGCACTCCAGCCTGGGCAACAGAGCAAGGCTCTGTTTCAAAGAAAAAAACAGTAATAATCAAATGCAGATCTTTGGGCCCGTCCTGAGAAGTCCTACATTAGGATCCCTGGGGAAGAGGGCTGGGAATTTGCATGTCCACAGGCACTCCAAGAAATGTTTTTGTAATTGCACTTTGATAATCATTGCTTTATTTTAAAACAAAGAATAAACCCTGCAGTCCTTACTTTCTTATGTTCTTACATCATCCCAAACAGAGACACTGTGATAAAAATATGTGTGTTCCGGCATCAGTTACTGGAAAGAAACCAGATGGGAGAAACACCAAGTGTAAAGTTATGATCTCAACTCTAAAGTTAGAAGGGCTAGCTTGACCTGAATATGGTGAGTTCCGCCAAGTTGATAAATTTGCTAACTCTATCATGAGAATATTATGACAAGAAGACAAACACACCCACATGGGTCTAGCCTCACTGAACATTCTTAACTTTCAGCGTGTTCACTCAGTGGATTAATTTAAATGCAGCATAGGAAGATTTTACACATTGAACCTCCGGTCGTCACCTCTCATAGGTCTCTTCTCCTTATAGCACTTACTATACATAGAGATTTTTTTATTACAGACATATTACAGTTGGGTGTTGGCTACCTGACTGTCCCACAATGTCAGACCATCAGTTCTATCATAGCAGGGGCATGTGCATTTGGATCCAAATACAAAACCAGCCAACTGGTAGCCCACAATAGATAAAAGATACTGTTGAGTGAATAAAATAAATGCCTTTTAACTTGGAAACATTTATCGGTGCTTAACCCTAAAGTTGTCATTTTTTCCCTATGTGATATTTTTTTTCATTTAAAAACTATCATAAAACAGCATCTCTATATGATTCTAAAGTTTCTCTTTGTTTTAGAGTATCACAAATAAGAAGGCCTAGTAGCATACTGAGTAGAGCATGTGCTTTGCAGTTAGGAGGTCGTGAATTTTAATTTCATTTCTGTTGCTTTCTTGCCATGGGACTCATAGACAAGTTATTTAACCCCTCCTTCTCTCTATTTCTTCTTCTCATGAAGCTTTTCTAAACCAATAGAAAACAAATAAATTGGATAAATAAGAATCTCTTCCACGTTCAAAAGGTTATAAAAACATAGGCAGTGTAAAGAAGCAGCAGAATTTTCCCAGTTATAAGACATCTACAAGGTGTCATTCTGCTACTAGCTGTTCTTGATGCTCAGAATGATTTTCATGGTAAATTTCAATCCAACCAGCAAATAATTTTAGGAACCTTACAGATAAGCAATAAGTACTCACAGAGTGTTCAAATTCTTGAGTTTCTTGAAGGCGCTCCCTGGAATTTCTCTTATTCTGTTAAACCTCAAGTCTCTGGGAACATAAAAAGGTGAAGAACAATTACAATATGTTGACTGTGTTCTGCCATTATTTCCAGAAGCTTGAAAGTTAAATCTCCTTTTATGATCAAACATACAGTACTAAAGGACTAAATATAATTAAGACAGAACTAGTGCACATCATACACTAATCATTAGGGAGGTGCACTGTTTACAGAAAATTTTGCATCTCTGGGGCCATATGCTTGTCACAGGATGCCAGACAAATGTGGCTACTTATAGAGCTCTGCGAAGTGTTAAAGACAGTTACACCATTTATTTTAGGTTTTATTTGTATGCCAGTAAAACAAACTCTATACATGGCAGCATGTCAATTGAGTACATTTAGTTTGGAAAATAATTGATGTATTAGTTGTCACATATCGACTCAACACCACTGTTTGAATTTACCTAAAATTATTAATTACTTAATTTTTCTTCACAGTACAGGAATACAATGGCCTTCTATGAAGTATTAAATCAACAGAAAAATTAGTTTGAGAGAGACGTTACTCCACAACCAACATTCTCTTTCATGAATTCACATCTTTTTTATTCAGCATGTGAATAATTGAGTGTCAGCTACGTGCCACCTATCATGTTAAGTAATAAGGATGCAAAGATAAGCAAGATAGGATCCCTGCTACTGAGCCAGATAGTTCAGTGGGGGGATGACAAGGAAGTTATTACAGGACTAGGATGTATAGTGTTTGTGATGCAACAGAGGATCAAACAAATGCCATGCACACTTCGAAGGCTTAGGGACTGCTCTGCCTCAAGCCCCTCTATCAGTTGGAGAATGAGTCTCCCCACTCCATGTCATTATGGTAAAGACGTCAAGCAGGGGCCTCTTCCTGCCCAGAACAGGGTGGTTAACTGGGGGCAGCATCTCCACGGACATACTGTTACTTCCATGGGGAACATATGACCCAAGCAAGGCCAGCAGGAGGTGTTTTTAAGCATTGACGTGGCTGCTGAATAAAACAGTCATGTTCTGTCTCTGGGGTTCAGAGTTCTAAGGAAAATGAGCATCTAGGGCCACTAACTCATATTGTCCACACTAGAAAGCACCAGCCTAGGAATAAAGCCCAGGAAACACATAGGGTCAAAATAGCAAATGAAAGAAACAAAACCCTGGACCCAGGATTGCCTGAGACCAAATTTACTCCTTGACTTTCCAGATCCCTGATACCAGGAACTGTCATTTTGATAAACTAATTTGAGCTGAATTTCTATCTCTAATGCAAGGAGTATAGAACAAAGATGAAGTAATTTGCTTGGGAATGTTAGGACCAAGGAGAAGTATATCAGGGAAATTTTATAGGATGCTAGAATGGCAGTAATAGAATAAAATGAAAACAAAAAACTGTCTTTACTTCCCTTCAATTAATTTCTCAAAACAGAACTCTTCACCACCATAAAAAGTTGTTCTATCGTAGAATACTTGACTTACAAACTTTATAAGAGTACCTTAAAATCTATCATCTATCACTTTATCTTTCTCTAGACTTTGCCAAAATGAGCAAAATTTTATAGGAGCTATTATTTTCAATTAAAGTTATTAAATAACTCAGTGACTATACCTCCTTGCTAAATGGAATGCACTGCGTATATGTCATGCATTGCTGTTTAGTATGTCTATACTCTATTGGTAAAAGAAACTGTAAGTTATATGAGATCCTACCTATAAACATATAAGACATTAAGTTATATAGACCCAAATACCCTGGAAACCACTGGTTTCTCTTAAAAACAGAAGCTAAAAATTAGTATTTATAGAAAGGGCTTTCCTCTTGCATTAAACAATAGTCCTAATAATTCTCCCAAAATGGGATTCCAACAATACAAGAAGGAAGCAAATACAAAAAGATAAACCATTTTCCTTATTTTAGGCTTTGACATTTCTGAAACATTCAGAAAAGTACAAATGAGAAAATAATAATCCTTACTGTCTACATCCAGAATTAACTACTATTAATATTTATAGCTTGATATAGTTGCTTCTACTCATAATTTCACGTGTGTATTTTTACTACATAAATTATATATAAAAACACATTGTAGATAAAATGAACATCTTTTAAGCACCATCTTAATTTTAGCTTTGTCTCCCACACCAGATGTAACCACTCATGTATTTGACACTCCTCTTCAGACATACATTTCTATGTATGTGGATAAATATAAGATGAAATGTAAACACATACAGATACTTCTTGACTTATGATGGGGTTATGCCCTTATAAATCCACTGTAAGTTGAAAACATTACAAGTCAAAAATGCATTTAATACAACCGAACTACCAACATCATAGCTTAGCCTAGCCTACCTTAAACATGCTCAGAACACTTGCATTAGCCTGCAGTTGGGCAAAATTATCTAACACATACCCTATTTTATAATAAATGTTGACTATCTCATGCAGTTTACTCACTATTGTACATTACATCAAAATTGCAACCATTTAACAACATGGTAAAGTCAAAAATCATAAATTGCACCATTGTAAGTCAAAAACTGTCTATGAAAATAAACCTAATATATGGGCAAATTTAAAATATTTTGTGCTTTTAAATTTACAAAAAAATGCTATCAAATGTTATATGGTTGTTAAAACTTCCCTTTTCCCTTCCACTACATATTTTCTATGTTATTCCTTGTCTACATGTAAAGGACTAGGTATTTTTGTCTAACTTCTCCACAGTACTCCACAATGCAGACAGACCACACAGTTCCTTTATAGATTCCTTTACTGACAGACATTTTGGTTGTTTCCAAATTTTTGCAACATTATTTACTAACAATATTGCAATAAATATGTATGCATGTCTCCTTGTACCGTTGAAAAAAATGTTTGTCTATGCTAAATATTTGGAATTGGGATTGCTAGGTTATAGGGTAGGTACATCTTCAGTTGTATGAAATGATGCCATTGCAAATTTTGTTTTCAGTTACATACATTATAATGGTAATATAACTGAAAATAATGTGAAAAGATGCTTGAACTCATCACCAAATTACATAGTTAAACTTATCACTGGATTGATTTGAAAGCCAAGGTGCTATATGTATCTGTTATCAGAATTTCCTTCTTGTTTTTCTCCACAAGTAAGCAGACATAAGCTTTTCTCCCACAGAGACAGTCTTGCTCGTAAGCTGGTGCCATAGCAAGGTCTCCAGGGTACCCAGGCTCACCCAGTGGACTGTAAGACTCTGCCCACTGACTTTGGCCATGCCCTGTTCTCACCACTGAGGCATGCTCAGGGACTCTCTTCCTGAGAAGCAGAGTGTGGGCTGGGCTGGGTGCAGTAGCTCATGCCTATAATCCCAGCACTTTGGGAGGCTGAGGCAGGACGACCCCTTGAGCCCAGGAGTTCAAGACCAGCCTGGGCAACATGGCAAGACCCCATCTCTACAAAAAATACAAAGATTAGCCAGGCAAGGTGGTGCACACCTGTGGTTGCAGCTACTCAAGAGGTTGAGGTGGGAAGATCACCTGAGCCCAGGAGGTCAAAGGTATAATGAGCCATGATCACACCACTGCACTCCAGCCTGGGCCACAGAGTGAGACCCTATCTCAAAAAAAAAAAAAAAAAAAAAAATGGTTGGACTCCCAAAGATTTTCTCCAGATTGACTTAAATTCCAATAAGTCATATTCAAATATAAGTTGTAAGATAAATGTGATCCTCTTGAAATAATATGTGTAGCTGAGACTGAATGCAAAATGTTGTTAAGAGATAAAATCAAAAGTCTGAACTTGAGCCCCTTCCTGAGGAGACCCAGGCCACACAGCTCATCCAGCGAGGTGTGGGGCCTCCTGCTAATCCCTGGGTTGAACACAGCCTCCAGATTTGTTGTGAGTAGATGCTTGGCTATCATAGCTAAGAATCTCATGCTCGGAGAGCAAAACAAATGAGCTGAGACGCTCAGAGAATGCTGTCTTACCAGGCTGATTTCTGTTTGCGTGTTGTACTTGTTTCTCTGAAATCTGAGAAATATTCTTTCTGGCACAAAGCCTGTCTTCCCGAGAAAAAGATCAACCAGCTCTATACCTGAGCCAAAAGCATTCCTATTGAAGGTAAGGATGCAATTAAGTCACCGGAATGGCACAAGCCTGCCACCGCAGAAAGAGAGGCAAGCAGGTTCCCGTCTCCCTGAGCTACCATGAAGGGCAGGAGGGAGAAGGTGATTCCTAAAAGCTGGGCTGTTATTTTATTGGGAGACACGCACTCCTGTGCACTGCTGCCCGCAGCCCACTTTTGGCATCAGAGTGAGGGCAGACTCCGCTCCCTGTAGCCAGACCCTCTGTCAGTCACTCCGATCAGCCCCACTCCAGCTCCCGCCACAACGCCTCTCTCAGGCGATGCCCTTTGTGACTGCTCCTCATCCAGCATATCAGAACGGTGCTGGGACACTGTCGGGACACTGCCACGCTGCCCGGCCTTGGAGTCAGGGGAAGAATCAAGGAGATTTTTCCACACCTCTCCCTGTTGCTCTAAAACAAGCCTTCTTCATCATTTCATTTGACAGCCCTGTCATTGTAGAAATTGGAAATACATTTTCCAGGCTTGAGACGATCGTCTGGAGGACACCCTCTGTCTTGACTGATTCCCAGTCATATCCCCAGCTGAGGAAGGCTCCTGAATTTTCTCGAATCTCTAGTGCACTTGCTGCCTTCCAGTTGCCTCACAGCCAGGGCTTGAGGCCATCTTCCGCTGTTGTTTGCTGGCCCAGTATTAGCGTGCTGTAGTGGTTAATTTTATGGATCAACTTGGCTAGGCCATCGCACCCATGGAACTCAGCTTTTGGCCAAACACCAATCTAGATGTTGCTCTGAAGGTATTTTTTACAATATGATTAATATTTAAATCAGTAAGCTTTGAGTAAAGCAGATCACGCTCCACAATGTGGTTGAACTTCATCCAATCAGTTGAAGGCCTTAAGAGGAAAGCCCCGGGTCCCCTGAGGAAGAGGGAAGCTGCCCCCAGACTGC